ATGTTAGTGCTACACATAACTGACCCTTCCTTTCCTCCTAATCCTAGAGTTGTTCAAATTAAACAATTCATTTTACATGAATTGCACTTAGTACAATGCCCAGGACATTGCCCTCAATACATTCCTTCTCCTCTTCTCTCCCTCTCTCTCCCTCCGTGTGTGTGTGTGTGAGTGTGTGTGTGCATGTGCCTTTACTGCCTCATGAGTGTTGTTAGGATTAAAGCTATGTGCCACCACACCTAGTTTATATGGTACTGGGGATCAAACTTGGAGCTGCTGCTTCTTCTTTCTCCCCCTCCCCCTTCCCTTCTTCCTCTTCCTCCTCCTCCTCCCCCTTCTTCCTCTTCCTCCTCCTCCTCCTCCTCTTTCCTCTTTTTTTTGACAGGGTCTCCCTGTAGCCCAAGTGACCTGGAACTCACAGAGATCCATCTGCTCTACCTCTCAAGTGCTGGGACTGAAGACATGAGCCACCATGCCTGGCTCATCAGAGCTTCTTGCCTACTAAGCAAGAAGATTACTAACAGGGCCACATCCCTAGACCCTGCTCCATTCATTGTGATGTCACCAACACTAAATTCCCATATGTAGTTGGGCTTACTCCTGGATTTTTGTCTTCTTGATTTCATGGGTTAGCTCTTCTAAAGACACTCAAACCAACCTGCAACCTGTTCTCTGCCGCCCCCCTCTCCATTTACTGAGTTCACTATAGGGGGCAATGACTTGAGCAGTAACTAGAATACCATCAGCATGTTAGGCAAGTACTTGACCATTGAGCTACACCCAATCCCCAAACTGTTCCTTTTCAAGCTTCTCTTGATTATTCTTTTTCCAATGAGCTTTTTAGAAAGAATAGTGCCTAATGACCAGACAACACATACGGGAAGTAACAAGTGGCAAAACCACACATTGCATACATAAAAATACTTTTCGGGGGATTGGGAGAGATGGCTCAGCTGTTAAGTGCACTTTCTGCCCTTCCAGAGGACTGGAGTTCAGTTCCCAGTACCCATGCTGGATGGTTCATAATCATTGGGAACTCCAGCTCCAGGGATTAGATACCATCTTCTGGCCTCCATAGGCATGCACGTGTGTATATTCTACACACACATACACACACACACACACACACACACACACACACACACACACACACACACACACATGAATAAAAATGACAAAATCTAAAAAAAAAAAAAAGCAACAAAAAAAACCCCTTTATTGAATGTCGATATGACTTGGTGGTAGACAGCTTCTCGTCTAGAGACCTGGGCTTGACCCCCAGAACAGTCCCACAGCAGGAAGGGCTTTCTTTATAGAAAAGTATTGGAAGAGATAAATGTTTCTGGTGATCATGCTTTATTACTGTGGAGAAAGGGAGCACTATCTTGCTTACTGCTGCAAACCTTAATGGAAAACACTACCAGTCAGCAATGGAGCTGTCTGCTCCTTCTCCTTCGCTGTCACCTTATTTCTGGGTCACTCTGGCAATCTTGTCTCTTTTCTGGGTTCTCAAGAGTGGCAGGGGCTGGGGAGATGGCTCAGTGTCAAGAGCAAGTACTGCTCTTGCAGATGACCCCTGGCTCATCTTCAACTCCAGCTCCAGTCGATCTAGAGCCCTCTTCTAGCCTCCACAGTCACATAAACAAAAACAAAAAGAAATCCTTAAAAAGAGTGGCAGACAGATGTTGGGTATGTAGCACAGGGATAAACACTGCTTAGCACTGCAAGAGACCCTGGGTTCCATTCCAAGCATGGGGGAAGGGTGACAAGCAGAGCCATTTCAGGCACCTTTTGGAAAGACAGTGCACTTTAGCCTGTAGAGTTCACTGTAGAGTGTAGGAGTTATGAAGTTGAAGAAGCCCGTCTGATCCCACACCCCCAACACAATTCTGTGTGCTCATCCCCATTAAGGGGTACTTCTCTCCCAGGGAAAGGTTCATATGAATAAGGAACATACCAGTCTCACCAAGCTCATATTTGGGCCTAGCACTATGACTGCATTAGAACAGGAAGGCAGAACCAGCCAGGATTGTACTGTCCAATATGGTAGTCACTGAGATGTAGCTGGCTGGTGGCACTAGGAACTTAAATTCTACTTACTTGAGAGTCTTTCTCTGTAGCTCAGGCAAGCCTGGAACTCACTAAGTAGCCCAGGCTGGCCTCAAATTCATAAGGAATGGGATTACAGGTATGAGCCACAGCACTCAGCTTTTATTTACCTTCAGTGTAAATACTCACATTGGCTTTAGCCAGTTCCCAACCCGGACTCTCCCTTTTTACCCAGAACCTGAGGAAGAAGCCGCACGTGCAGGGGCAAGTAGGCCGGGTGAGAAGACAGCAGGCCTGGGCAGGGAGCTGGGTGGGGGAAGCTGTAGGCTAGGTCTTGCTTACAGAACACCCATGGGAGCTCTGTGGGAGGAGGTCAGCCCACAGCAGCCCCACCCTACCCCAGTGGCCATCACAATGGCATTCAGGCCAGCGTCACAACATGACTGGCAGTGGGAGGCTGGTCTCTTTGTCTGAAGACCTAGTTACAGAAACCCCGGTGTCAGAGGACCCTGTTTCCTAGGGAATAGAAAGAGGCCCAGCGGCTAAGTGGCCTCAAGATGGAGACCTATAGGATGGGGACATACAAGCGTGGGGCTGGACGAGCCTACTCAGCCCCCAGAACCAGGGCCTGCAGGGCCAGCTGTCCAGCTGCAAGGAGCAGGGATTCTCTGTGAGCACTGAGCAGCTGCTCATGTTATTCCTGGCTATTTGGTTCTTCTATTTCTTCTACCTTCAGGACTAACTCTGACAGAGCCTCCCTGGGAGTGACTAAAGGTGGCTGACAGCAGCTGACATGGTCCAGTTCCTGCAAGTGAAATCAGGGAGAGGCCAAAGGCCACAGCCTTGGCCCCCCAGAGCAGCTGTCCAGGCCTCACCTGTGTACCCAGGTAATGAAAATCTGGAGCCCAGAGCCCCTGGGGGCCCCTTTATTTCACCAAGCTACCACCTCCTGCTCTCAGTGCTGCATGTCTGTAATAGGAGTCTTATGCCTCCCGTGAGTATACGATGCAAGAAGGGAGTCTTGCAGATCCTGTGACCAGGCCAGGGACAGGGCATCTCAGGAAGACTTCAGGAAAGACAAGGGTACAGAGTGTGAGGCTTCTCAGTGGAGCTGAATTGTTTTCTGGAAAGTTGTTTTGTGCCTGGCCCCAGGCTCCTAGGCGGAAATAAAATGCCTTTGGGGCCAAGTAACATCAACTTTCTTTTTGTTTTCTGGTGTCTTTGAGATAAGAGCTTGCTACGTAGTATAGGCTGGCCTTGAACCCACAGGGATCCTACCTCTCTGCCTCCCAGTGGTTTGGATTTGCAGGCCTGTACCACCACACCTAGCTTTCATTCCTGTTTCCTAAAGTTTTTTAAAATTATTTTTATTTTATGTGTATACGTATATTGCCTGTGTGTAGGTAAGTGTACCCATATTGTGCAATGCCCATGGAGGACAAAAGAGGCTGTTGGATCCCCTGGAACTGGAGTTTCAGACAATTGTTAGCTGCCATGTAGGTGCTGGGATTCAAACCTGGGTCTTCTGCAAGAACAACCAGTGTTCTTAACTGCTGAGCCATCTCTCCAGCAACTCCTGTTTTCTAAGAGGAAAAAAAAAATGGCAAGGATTTTGGCAAAGGTGGAGGAAAGAGCACTTCCTTTTGGGGAGAATCTTGAAGATTAAAACATTGCTAAGGATATAGGAATGCCTCCTCTTTGGACCAGGGCAGGTCCTGGCCACCCCAGGAGCTCCCAGGCCCAGTTTTCTAGCGAGTTGTGCAGGTACCTCTAGCACAGCTGCTGAGACAGCTCTGAGCACTTGGATGATGCTGACTCCACAGTGGCTCCCAGGAGTGGATAGGCCAGGCATCCCTGAGAATGGTTCCCAGCAGTCAGCAATGATATACAATGGTTGACTGGGAGGTAGGCTGCTCCTGAGATGACCACAGTCAAGGGCAGGTCTCCAACCCTCAAACCAAGGCCTCTGTAGGTGCTGCGCTGTGCAGGAGTCACCAGTAGATGCAGGGCAGCATATCCATGCAGACCCTGGGCCTCACATGAAGGCTGTAAGCACTAGTGGCATGTGGAGGGAAGGAAGTGACAAGTTCCTAAGGACTACATGTAGTGCATCTCCTAATCTCAAAAATGCAGATTAGGAAATCTGCAGGTATGAACTCTAGGCTCTGGACTGAATCCCAGGCAGCCTGGAAGGATGAGAAACATGTGTCTCAAGGGCCTGTGATCTGTCTCAAAGACAAAGAGGAAAGTGTCAGGCTGTCTCTTCCTCACCATGCTTGGAAAGGAATAGGGACAGTATGCTATATTTTTGCATTGATATTCTAGAAACTACTTGATGGTAAACAGATGTAGAAGTTTTTTTCCTTTGGAACTCCATAAGGCTTTTTTTCCCCCTAAACTTTATTGAATTTTTGTGTATTTCATACAGAAAATCATCTTTATACCCCTTTCCCCTTTGGCACGGGGGAGGATTCATACCCATTGGGAGGGAGGGTTCATACCTTCTGTCATTTGTGTTAAGGCCTATCATGTAAAGTTAGTGTCCCCAGATGTCCCTCAGTGCAAGTTCATTCACTGGGATCTAGTTAGCCTATGTAGAGTGGCCTCCCTTTTAAGATTTGCTATGATGTATAGATTTGGTCTTTTCATGGTGTCCCACATTTCTTGCACATTCCTCAGCTTTTTAAAAATTTTTCATAATCTTTTTTTTTCATGGCTCTGTTCAGTTTATTGCATGAAGGAGTTACACTAGTCCAAGTTTAAAGCAGACCCTAAATGGTTACACTATACAAGCTGTGAGGTTTTTAAACTTGTGAAAAGGGACAGAAGGGAAATTCTACTCATTGCAAAGAAATCCTCACTTAAGCTTCAGAGAGCCACAAGCACTTAAAACGCAGGAACCTTCAGCTGATCATCCTTAGCCAGTCCAATCTTGATCAGGAACTGGCATATGTTCTTGCGCTGGTCACCCTGTAGCTGAACTACTTCTCCATATTCTGGATGCTCAATTACAGTACCATTGCAGGCAAATTTCTTCTTAAACGCCTTCACTAGTTTCTTTTTATCGTAATCAGTGATCCCTTGGACAGTAGTAACAGTAGTAAGGGTCTTCCTGCTGTTTCTCTGTTGAATTCTATTTTTTAAGAGAAATATTTTTCTTTTTAAATTTTATGTGTACGAGTGTATTGTCTGCATGTATGTGAGTGCACCTGTGTTATGCAATGCCATGGAGGTCAGAAGAGGGCTTCGGATTCCCCTGGAACTGGAGTTAAAGATGGTTTGTAGCCGCCATGTGGGTGCTGGGAATCGAACCCGGGTCTTCTGCAAGAGCAGTCAGTGCTCTTAATTGCTGAGTCAACTCTCCAGCCCCTCTTGCTTTTTTGGAGGGGGGGGGTGTTTTTGAGACAGGGTCTCCCTGTAGCCCCAGCTGTCCTGGAACTCACCATGTAGACCAGGCTGGCCTTGAACTCACAGAGATCTGCCTGCCTCTGCCTCCCGAATGCTGGGATTAAAGGCGCGTGCCACCACGCCCGGCCTCTGTTGAATTCTTCTATGTATATAATCCTCGGTGCCAGCAGGAAGCAGGCCTCTGTGGGAGAAGGGGAGGGGAGGCAGCTGAGTCCTCAGTGTCGGCTCAGTGACTGGGGCCAATTTTTCATAATCTCTGACTGAGCAGTCCAGTTCTTCAACTTTATTGTCCAGTCTTGATATTGTTTTCCATTTCATTCATTCAATCAGTGAGGCTTTCCCCTGTTGTTTCACGTTGGCTTACTGAGTTTTGCACTTCCTTCTTCATTTCAGCCTGAGTTTTCTTCAGTGTCTATCTCTTCTGTCAGAAGTTTATCCCTATCTTTTTAGTTATTTGACTTGTGTGACCTTTAAATTTGTTGAATTCCATGATCATGTTTATGACTTTTCTTTTAAATTCTGTGTCCTGGGTTATCTCTAGAGGGTTCTTGTAGAAGTTGTCTATAGGACTGGTGGAGTTTGGTGTGAACATCCTGTTTAGATTTTCCATATTATTTTTCCATTGTGATCTTGGCATGTGGATTTCTTTAGCTGTTTGTGATTCTGGTATGAAACTCAAGCTTTCCTTTGTTGAAGCCTGCTTCTGTTTGTATTATTGGTGTGTCCTGGTTCTTACTGGGTATGTAAAGCTGGTTGGTCTAGGTTTCAAGTTGTCTCAGATTGTATACTGGAGGGAACTGAAGACTTCATATCAGCTACTCAGAAGTTCCCACAGGGGTACAAGTCAGGCTCCAGTCAGGTACACTCGGGCTTCCTTTAATGTCTGGACTAGCAGGCACTCACTACAATTTGGGAAGTTTGCTAAGGGGATGCCTGATTTTGGCCCTCTCAGGCAGTCTGCTAAGGTCTCAAGGCTTAATTTTTAATGGAAAAAAGCAGCCTAGGGAGCCAGTGAGATGAATCAGAAGAGGTACCTGTTGCCAAACACTGAAGACCCTACTTTCATCCTCAGGACCCACATGGCAGGAGAAAGCCGACTCCTATGGTTTGTCCTCTAATTTCCACAGGTACACTGTGGCTTGCATTACCTACACACATACATAAGCTATTTAAAAAACACAGCCTATAAACAAGTATATTTCCTGCATCAAGCTGTATATAGAACAGGTGTCTCCTCCCTCACTTGCTCCAGGTGGAGCAACTATGTACACTGGCACCGGTACACACAGCAAACCTGTGGTTCTGGGCCCTCACAATGGATGGATCGAAACCAGCTTTTATTCTCTCAAGCTAATGACAAGAATCACAGCCTGACAGTTTGCAGTGACTGATCATGGCTGCCCTATGTGCCAGGAGGAAATCCACAGTGGATGTCAACTATCTCTTTATTAAGGCTCCAAGTGTCTGCAGAGGTGGGGGTACAGGTGGCTCAGTCATGTGCTCTACAACCCCTACTATAGTCCACTTCTCAGTGACCCCAAGGCAGAGAAGGCTGTGTGAAGTCCCAAGTCACAGTCCACTGAGCTCTATCCACAAAGCCCTGCTAGAAGGGTCTGAATACAGGTAACCTGGGAGCCCTCAGGAGGGGTGCTTCTGCTCAGTTGGGGCTGGCTCTGGTTGGGAAGCGGCAAGGGAGGACAGGGAGAGCAGGGATCTCTCCCCCAGCCCAGCCTATGGCTTTATTATCCTTTTGCTGCTTGAGCAGGAGCAGTGTCCCAACCCAATCCCTGTATTACAACCATGAGGTGCTAAGGCCCAGGAGAGAAAAGGCAGGTCCGTGCCTGCCACAAACCAGGCTACAGAGGCACTGGGATCCTGCTCTTGCTCTCCCTATCCCCAGCTCTTGCCAGCAATGGGGCTTCTCTGGTTGAGGCTGGTCACTCAGAAGTGGACCCGCAGCACATCCTGGCTGGTGACTGGCTGCTGGCAAGCTGTGCACATCATGGGCAGGGAACGTTGCTTCTCACTCAGGCAGGGTCGGCACAGAAGGTGGCCACAGGGCAGCTGATACACGGGCTCCTTTCTGAAGTAGGGAGAAAATGCTCTTTTGCAGGAGGCACACGCTAGGCCAGCAACACTCCTGGGCTGCTCTGGTGAATCAGAAGAACAAGCCAGGGTTAGGTGAGGCAGCTCCTTAGTCCAGGTTTTGTCCCTCCTGCTGATAGGCAGGAGAGGTGATAACTGGGAACCTGAAAGGCCTCCCCTCTAGACCTTTATCAATCTTGGTGCAAGCTATGAATGCTTAAGAGGGGCTGGTCTGTGAGGGCAGTGGGCAGGACCAGGCCCTTCCCTTGGTCCCCCAAACAAGGTGTACACTTCCTTGCCAAAGCCAGAGCAAGGCATTAAGCTTATCCCGACAATATAAATTACAAGAAAAGGGAAAAGCAGAATGTGGTCTAAATACCAAGGTCAAGGCAGCTCAGGGTGGAGGGCAGTTATAATCTATCAGAAGTTGCCCTCAGTCCCCTTCCTGAGCCTCTTGAGCAGGCCCTCCCCCTCCATGATTCCCTTGGGGCCTTCTGAGTGAGAACAATTTGTATTTATGTGCCTGTGTGTAAGTGTGCCCATCTCACCCCAAAGTCACACCAGTGGCTCTTCCTTCCCTGTGGCCTACTTGAGGAAGCTGTTCTTCCTCCCCATCTCTAAGGAGAAGAGAGGCTGGGCTGGCCTGTCCTCCTCAGTGTCCAATTCTCTAATCTTAGCTAGCACTTTGGGGACCCCAAATCTGCTTTGCAAATTCTTATTGTTATTTTAATTTTTATTATTAGTGTAGGGAGTGTCACATACCACAGTACATCTGTAGAGGTCAGAGGACAGTTCTGTGCAGTCCACTCTCTTCTACCTTTACATGGGTTCTAGGGCTTGAACCTTCTTGGCAAGTGAGTACCTTAACCCACTGAGCCATCTAACCAAGAACGTGTTTTAGGGAGGCACAGTCTTGTTATGTAGCTCAGGCTGATCCTGAAATTAAGATCTTCCTATCTAAGCCTCTTGAGTGCTTGAGACTACAGGTATGAGCCACCATGCCTGACTTAGAAAATCTTTTTTTTTGGTCTTTTTGAGACAGGGTCTCCCCGTAGCCCTAGCTGTCCTGGAACTATGTAGACCAGGCTTGCCTTGAACTCAGAGATCTACCTGCCTCTGCCTCCCGAGTGCTGGGATTAAAGGTACGTGCCACCATGTCTGGCTTAGAAAATCTTTTTTAAAAAAATATTTTATTATTTTATGTGTCTCTCTGTAAGTGTACCCATGTCATGCAATGCCACAGAGGTCAGAAGAGGGTTTCAGGTCCCCCGGAACTTGAGCTACAGACAGTTGTTAGCTACCATGTGGGTGCTGGGAACCGAACCAGGGTCCTCTGCAAGAGCAGCCAATGCTTTTAAGTGCTGAGCTGTCTCTCTAGCCCCCTGACTTAGAAATTCTTAGCCCTTAGCCTGGACTTCTCTCTTTTTTATATTTTATATTTTATTATTTATTTTTATTTTATGTGTATGCATGTATTGCCTGCATGTAGGTAAGTGCACCCGTGTTGTGCAATGCCCATGGAGGACAGAAGAGGCCTTCGATCTCCTGGAACTGGAGTTTCAGACAATTGTTAGCTGCCATGTGGGTGCTGGGATTCGAACCCGGATCTTCTGCAAGAACAACCAGTGTTCTTAACCACTGAGCCATCTCTGCAGCCCCCTCTCTTTTTAATCTTTGTGAGTGTAGGTGTGCGTGTGCCACAGCACCAGTGTGGAGGTCAAAGTCACTTTCTACCTTGTTTCACACAGGCCCTCATGTTCACCCTGTACATACAAGGCTAGGTGGTCTAAGCTTCCAGGAATTCTCCTGTTTCTACTTCCTATCTCAACACAGACATGCTTGGATTATACACATGTGTTACTATGTCCAGCTTTTTTAAAAATATTTTATTTATTATTTTTTTGTGTATGTGTGTATTGCCTGCATGTAGGTAAGTGCACCCGTGTCATGCAATGCCCATGGAGGACAGAAGAGGCCTTCGATCTCCTGGAACTGGAGTTTCGGACAGTTGTTAGCTGCTATGTGGGTGCTGGGATTCGAACCCGGGTCTTCTGCAAGAACAACCAGTGCTCTTAACTGCTGAGCCATCTTTCCAGTCCCACATCCAGCTTTTTATGTGAGTTCTAGGGATCTAAAACTCAGATCGTTATGTCTGCATGGCAAGCACTTTACCAGTAAGCCGTCTCACCAGTCCCCCAGTCCCTTTTCTTCTTCCACTTCCACCATCATCATTCACTTTGTGTCTGTCTGTCTGTCTGTCCTGGCTTCCTTTCCTCCAGTCTTGTCATCTCTCCTTGAATTTGCCACCCAGCTGCACTGGCACAACCCGGCTTCCTCACCTGAGTCACTTCTGGGAGCACCCCACCACATTCTAGCATGCTTAAGTGGCCTTTCCATGGTCCACCCAGTCTCATATCCACATCAGTCTCATCTTTCAGTCCACTAATTTCAATCAGCTCTTTTCTGTGCTTTGCTGCTGTCGCCCTCCTGACATTGGGCTTGCTGCTCCCTCATTTGGAAAGGTGCCTGAGACCATACACCTTGTATGCTAGACATGCAGACTGCCTCTTTCCTGTGATTCTGGAGCTCCCTAGCACCTCTCATACCACCAGAAGCCCCTCAACGGTAAGGACCACACCTAAGCTTTGCTGTTCATCCGTGGGTCCAAGCAAAGAGGCTCACACAGCCTGAGCTCAGTCAGTACATGATGAGTAAGTCTGACTTCTCAGCCTGGTCTACATAGTGAATTCCAGGACAGCTGGGGCTACAGGGAGATCCTGTCTCAAAAAGACCAAAAAAAAAAAAAAAGTGGAAAAGGGAAAAAAAAACAACCCAACAGGAATGGGGGAAAATCTTATAAATCATGAGACATCTAAATCTGAGAAGCCAACCTGTCCTATCTGCCAGTAAAAGCAACAGAGTAAAGAAGTTAAAAGCAGTCAGGTGTAGTGGTGCAGGCCTTTAATCCCTGCAGAGGTAGGCAGATCTCTGTGAGATCAAGGCCAGCCTCATCTCCACTGTGAGGCCCAGGCCAGCTGGGGCTACAGGGAGATCCTGTCTCAAAAAGACCAAAAAAAAAAAAAAGTGGATAATGGATATAAAATACCACCACCAGGTATGGTGGTACATCCTTATAATCCCAGTACTTGGGAATGAGAGTGTTTAAGGTCAGCTTGGGTTATATAATAAGTTTCAAACCAAACCAGGCTACATAGCAAGACCCTGTCTAAAAATAACCAACAAAAAAAGCCTACAGCAAAGGATAGCCAGGCCGGAGTCTACAGAATCAAAAGGTTGACTGAAGGTCTTTCCTAAAGAGTCCCATCCCCAGGCAGCCCCTCATCTCCCTAAGAGAAGGCAAGATAGCAGCCCTCTCCCCAGGATGGGAGTTACAGTAAGGGAGCTGACCATGCAGGCCCACAGAGTCCTGAGAGACTAGGCCCAGCATCCTGCTCAGGCACATTACCCATGCTAAGGTCCCGGGAAACGTTAGCCCAGATTACCGGAGTTGGTGTCTGGCCTCCTGGAAGCACTATTCCCTTGTGTGTCCTGCTGTTGGAGTTGTCCCCTGGTGAGCCGGGCTGTAAAGGAGGGCATGGAGCCAAGGGTGGAAGTCAAGGCAATTTCCAAGCTTTGTAACAGCTTCTGTTCATGGGACATAGGACCTGCTGAGAGATACATAGACCACAATGTCCAGAAGGTTTGGCGAAAGAGAAATAGCACAAGTCCTCAGAGAACTACAAAGAGCCCCTCTAACTTGACACACATGAATATACAGAAAACTTCCTGTATCTCCCAGGATTGTGGTAGCAGGACATGAAGTCGCTGTCCTGGGAACCCTAGACAGAGTGCAGGGCAGGAGAGAGCCACCTTGGGGCTCCACTGCAGAACTGCACCTGCCTTTTCCCTCTCCTCTCTCTCCCTTTTTTTTTTTTTTTTTTAAAGATTTATTTATATTTTATGTGTCTGCATGTTTTTTCTGCATGTATGCCTGGTGCCTGCAGAGGCCAGAAGAAGAGGTCAGATCCCCCTGGAAGTGGAGTTACAGATAGTTGTCAGGTGCCATCAGCTCTGAACAGCTCCCACCCCAACTCCCATCCTCTGCTTCATCTTACCTTCAGAGTAGGCTTAGTCTCTTTCTCTCATCTTCCTGGGGGCCCCACTACCCTGGAGGGGAGGGATGCTTACCACTTTCTAGGTATGGTATCTTTTTCCTGGCCACTAAAGCAGAGGGGTCTAACCTGATCAGGCCACAGTCTAGGTAAGACATCACAGAGAGCTGAGCTATTGGACTGTGACAACCTGGATGAAAAGGACTATCCCTTGGATTGTATTAACTCCTTCCAATAATCAGAAGGAAAAAAAAATCAAACCACAATCAGAAAGTAAAACCCAGTAGGTCATCTCTCTGCAGACACACATGTATACCAAGGAAAGACTGCCCCACGTCGGCCCCTGGGGTGCCCCAAACCACTTAAGAGCTAATCCATATGGACAACCTCTCATGCATATGATTATAACAGATGATCATGGGATGGAGCACAGTAAAAATACTTCCTATAAGCTAGAGATGTTAGTCACCTACATCAGTCAAAAATAACCCACCCCTTTAGAGAAACCCTCCCTTTTCTTTAGTAATTAAAAGGACCAGAAAGAGAGGCTTGACCCAGCAGTGCTCCATGGAGTGTGCTTCTTGCTTTTACTTTCGTGTTTGATAAATCTACACTTTTGCTACTACTTTTCTGTATCTTGCTCCATCTTTGTTAGAGACAAAAAGAACCTAGACATATTGTCATAGAGAACAACCTGAGACCCTCCTCCCTCTGGTATCAGGATGAGACGGGAGGCAAAGTAGGTAAGGGAGAGTTGGGGAGAAGCCTCAGTGGATAAATTCATGAGGATCTGAGTTCAGATTCCCACCATCCACTAAAAGCCAGGCATAGTGGCACATGTCTGTAGCCTCAGCACTGAATGGAGGGTAGAGACAGGAAGGTTCCTGAAGCTCAATGAACAGCCAGTGTAGCCAAAACACAAGCTCCAGGTTCAGTGAGAGATGACCTCTGACATCTTCTATACACATATACAGGCAACTGCACCTGCACACACGTGAATACATATGTATACACATATATATACTTTAGAAAAAAGGTAGGCAGACGGCTGCCCAAAGCAGGCCTCAAGGACCTCAGGAGAGGAACACAGTATTTTTCCAGTTTGTAGGACACAGAACATCGGCTTAGTAGCAACTTCAAGAAGCACTAGCCCATGTGGCCCTGAGTCAAGTCTGGCAAGGCCGTACCACTGAGACCTCCAAAGAACACAGGGTCAGAACCTTTCTTCAGAACCGTCTCAGTCTACTGTACCTCAGATGCCTCTAAAAATTTCTCAAAACCAAACAAACAAATTGGGCATGGTGGTACATGCACAAAATCTTAGCACTTGGTGAGGCAGAGGCAGGAGGATCAGGAGCTCAAGGTCATCCTCAGCTAGGTACCTAGTCATAGGCCAGCACTTCTTAAAACAAAAAACCCAAGGACACAGACATAACCATTAAATACAGTATCTGCATAGCCTTTTTTTTTTTTTTTTTTTTTTTCCTTTTTGAGACAGGGCCTCCCTGTAGCTTCAGCTGACCTGGAACTCACTATGTAGACCAGGCTGGCCTTGAACTCAAAGAGATTTGCCCCTCTGCCTCCCGAATACTGTGACTAAAGGCATGCGCCACCATGCCCGGCTTATTATTTTTATTTTATGTGTCTGAGTGTATTGCCTGCATGTGTGTAAGCACATGCCTGTCTCTCAGTGCCTGCAGAGGTCAAAGAGGACAGTGGATCCCCTGGAACTGGAGTTATAGAAGGTTATTAACTGTCATTGGGTAATGGGAATCAAACCTGGGTCCTCTGCAAGAACATCCAGTGCTCATAACCATTTCTAGGTCTTAAAGGCATATGGCTGACCAAACATGTTCAGCTGCACAAGTCACTAAAGTAATCCAGTGCTACTGTTTAGAAGGCAGAACTGCTAGCAGGGGGTGGTAGTGCACGCCTTTAATCTCAGAACTCAGGAGGTAGAGGGAGGTGGATCTCCGCAAGTTCGAGACCAGCCTGGTCTACATAGTGAGTTCCAGGTCAGCTGGGGATACAGGGAGACCCTGTCTCAAAAAGAAGGAAAAAAAAAAAAAAGATAGTAGAACTTCTGCTTCCAGGGAAAAGCAAGAAGCGGGAGACAAATCTCACTCAGGAACACAGACATTCAACATTTACTGACCACATTTTCTTTCTCAAACAAGGGCCTCCAACCGCATACATTACCACTTTTCTGTGTGTTATGGTACCTCATGGTAAAGTGAGGCAGGGGAGAACCTCAGTGCATTCCCATTCAGTGCTCCTCTGAGAAGATTAAACATAATACCCCAGAGGAGTTCACTGACACATGACATAAAGAAGGTTCCAGAAAGAAGACATGCTCTGCTTTGAGGGACCTAGTATGTCTCCTCCCAGCCAGTTTAAATGGAGGATGCAAGAGAGGAAAAAATGTTGACCTAGGCAGGGAACACAAGGGGAACTGAAAGGGAGAGTCAGAAGATGGAGGCACAAAGCATGTCAACAGAAACACAGGAAAAGCCAGACGTATCATCTCAGCACTTGGGAGGCTGAGACAGAAGGATTACCACAGTTCACTTCCAGCCAGGGATACATGGTGAGCTCCAGGCTAGCCTGAGCTACACAGCTGAGACCCTAACCTCAGAATAAGGAAGAACGACAACCCTGAGAGGCATCCGAAGTATCTGTGGGCTGAGGACAAAGTTGAGATGCCCGACAAGAATGGAAAAGCAGCAGCGAGGGCCCTAGCCTGACAAATCTAAGCTAGAATAAAGCCAAGACAGTGGTGTCACGTCAGTAGGAATGGCAAGTAAACAAAGGCCATGGAACAGGAAAGTGAGTTACCTGTTGAACAGTCCATGTGCATCAGGCTGAGCTCACTGGGGGCTTTCATTTTCTTTGCAGTGGGCTCTGAGGTAGTGGGTGAGCCAGAGGAAGCATTCATGTCAAGTCTGTTGTCGGGAGTGTGTTCAGCCTGCTCTACCTTCCTTTTCCTTGAAGGCAGGGCAATGATAGAAGGAGTCACTGTTGATGTACTTTGTGCTCTCCCAAGCAGGTGGCAGCCAGAAATAGAGTGCTGGAGCAGGAAATGGTCAATCCGGGCCTTCAGGGAAGGATGGGGTAGGGGCCGAGACTGTGGAGTAAAGGCTACCCCTGTGAAAGGGTCACTAGGCACTCGGCCCCAAGCAGCTTCGCTGAGGTTACACTTCTCCAGAGTGCTCTGGTCAATGACCTTGCCTGAGGGCAGCAGCATGGGGCAGGGCATGATCTCTAGGGTTATGGGATCCAGGAACTCCTCTGGCACATCGTGAATCACCTCAGTCAGCTCCTGCAAGATACAGGGAGCCTGCTGGCCCTCAGACTGACCCCCAGGGTCACAGTCACTCTCCATGGGTAAGGCTGGAGTGTGCAGACCCAAGTTCTGAGGCAGGTTCTCTGAAGCTACTAGCAAGACATTATTTATCACCTCCTGAGAGCAGGTCTTGGCTGGCTGACCCCATACCTCTAAATGCTTGATGCAAGAGATGGCACTGCCTGTCACATGGGTAATACAGATCTTGAGGTGGGCCACATGGCTAAGGGAAAAAGTCCCTTTATTCCAGAGTTCCTGGGCCACAACAGTAGGAGAGGGGAGAGTGACTTCCATTGAGCTAAAAGGCGGCCTGGCCTTGAAGCCCCTGTGGCTAAATAACACTTGGCTCTGGTTTTTCAGTAAGACTTTGCCTACCAAGGTGAACGCCTCCTTCTCTGGGGCAGATGGCGCCATCGTGCCTGTAGTCTGGCATTCGTGTGGGTCCCAAGAGGTTCTGCTAGATGAGACAGATGTATATATTTCCAGGCCAGTGACATTCTGGCCTCCCCGAGCTGAGAGGTCTATGTTAATCCTACAGATTTCCACATTAAAGGGAAAGGAAACTGTCACATAGACTGGTGGCCTAATGAAATACTCTGTCCTAAAGCCACGGCTTCGCTTTATGAAGTCTTCAGAGATGAGATTTTCCACTTCATAACCATCAGCTGACACCTAGATTTAATGACAAACAAGATCACTGATCCAAATGGAGACAAAGTGTTTTCGAGAACTTGTGACTTAATAGAAGATTCTATTTTATTTATTTTACTTTTTATTTATTTATTTTTTGGTCTTTTTGAGGCAGGGTTTCCCTGTAGCCCCAGCTGGCCTGGAACTCACCATGTAGACCAGGCTGGCCTTGATCTCACAGAGATCGTCCTGCCTCTGCCTCCCTAGGATTTAAGGCACGTGCCAATCCTGACTAGAAGATTCTATCTTAAAGAAAACCCTAAGATCTTTATTTTAAAACTGAATTATCTCAGGTTTTTTCTGAAGGCACCCAAGATCATTCCAAAGACTGAAAGTAAATGTCCCAAGCATGGCCTGCTCTGAAAATATGAGCAATAAGCCAGGCATGGTGGTATACATCTATAATCGAAGCACTTGGGAGACAGAGGCAGAAGCATCAGTTCAAGATCATTATTGACTATATAGTGATTGGCTGGTTGCAAGCCAGCCTGGACTAGGAGAGACCCTGTCTCAAAAACACAAAACAAAGCCAGGCATATTAATATGACTTTATTAATCCCAGCACTCCAGGACTAAGGAGGCAGAGGTGGGTGGACCTCTGTGAGATTGAGGCCAGCCTGGTCTACATAGCAAATTCTAGGCCAGCTAGGGCTACAGAGAGACCCTGTCTCAAAAAGATCAAACCAAATCAAACCAAACCAGTAAGTAAACAACAATTTAAAAAAAAAAGAGAGAGAGAGCCGGGCGTGGTGGTGGTACGCACCTTTAATCCTAGCACTTGGGAGGCAGAGGCAGGAGGATCATTGTGAGTTCAAGGCCAGCCTGGCCTACATAGTGAGTTCAGGTCAATTGGGACTACAGGGAGACCCTGTCTCAAAAAGACAGACAGACAGACAGACAGACAGACAGAGAGAGATTGAAAGAGACTGATTCTACTTTGTTTTGACTAGATACAAGTGAAATTAATTTATCAAAGAGGGAAGAGCACATTGAAGTTTACTCCACAACCTGAGTCATAAATCACCTCACAATAATGCTCTGTGAGTCTAGTGATGAGCCTGCCCACTACTTACTTAAATGCTGTCTGGTGGAATCTAAGGGTGAGAGTATAGTAAGCTGAAATCAAGAGCACATACACAAGGCAGGAGGAAATGGGGAAATGCATTAAATATACTGTATACTTATGTGTATATATTTGTTTGGTTTACCTTGTTGCAGTGAATTCTTGGTCTGAATTGTGGGAGGCAAAGATTTATTACCATCTTTGTGGCTAAAATGATAGCTTCCAAGTATCAGAAACAGCCTTAAACAGAAGTGAAACTTAGTATTAGCCAGGCACATTAAAATTCAGTTTTAAACTTTCAGGAGTTGAATCTAAGAGAAAATAATCAAATAAAATAAAAGCAAAACTTTTAGCACATAGTCCCTGAGTCTACAGTGACTTTCCTTGTGCCCTATACATGATATTAGGGAAAAAATAGTCACTTAGAAGTTATGAAGGTGCCAGGTGTGGTGGCGCACGCCTTTAGTCAGAGGCAGGTGGATATCTCTGAGTTCAAGGCCAGCCTGGTCTACATAGTGAGTTCCAGGCCAGCTGGGGCTACAGGGAGACCCTGTCTCAAAAAGACCAAAAACGAAAAAAAACTTATGAAGGTAAGTTTCTAAAGCAAGCTCCACAAGCTGGCAAAGCCTACCAGTTCTCTGGCTGACAGCAAGACCTGTCCGTCTTCAGAGTCTCCCATAGGACAGGGACAGTCAAAAGCAGCAAGTCACAGGAAAACAACAATGGGGGCTTGAAAGGGTCACAGGGAAAAAAAAAAATCATAGTCGTGCTAGGTATTTTGCCATTGAACACCTCTGTCAGTGCAACTGTTTCCTTACTAACCGAAACACTCAGAGCTGGGTGTGGTGGTGCTTACCTTTAAGCTCAGCACTTGGGAGGTGGAGGTAGGTGGGTCTCTGAGTTTGAGGCCAGCCTGATTTATACAGCAAGTTCCAGGCCAACTGTCTCAAATAAACAAAAAACCCAAAAGACTCAACAACATTTTTGAGAAGGCTGCAATTTTTTTTTTTTTTTTTTGTCTTTTTGAGACCCCAGTTGGCCTGGAACTTGCTATGTAGACCAGGCTGGCCCTGAACTCACAGAGATCTACCTGCCTTTGCCTCCTGGAGCTCTGGGATCAAAGGTGTGTGCCACCACGCCTGGCAAGGCTACAGCATTTTTTTATTGGCTTACTTATACTGAATCTATGCAGTAGCTCTGAGGGCATCTGTATGGAATCTTCATGAGCCTGGCATTTCTGCTCATTTATTTAGGGATGTCAGATTTCCCCCCCATACACAACAGATAAATGTAATTTAAAAACCAAAAAAGAGGGAATCTGGGAGTTAGTGAGATGGCTCAGAGGGTAAAGACACTTGCAGTATAAGCCTGGCAACCTGAGTTTGATCCCTGGAACCCACACAAAGGTGGAAGGAATGAACAACTCTGTGAAGTTGTCCTCTGACCTCCGCACCTGTGGCACACGAACCCCACCCCAACATCGTATGTGCACAAAAACAATTTTTTTTAAAGATTTATTTTTATTTTATTTTATTGTATGAATGTTTTGCCTGCAAGTATGTATGTGTACATGTGTGCCAGTAGAGGCCAGAAGAGGCCATCAGATACCCTGGAACTGGAATTACAGGCAATTGTGAACCTCCATGTGGGTACTGGGAACTGAGCACATTCCTCTGTAAGAATATCAAGTGTTCTTAACCACTGAGCCCCCAGAATCCTCCTTGATTATCTTAAGCAGAAGGAATGCCTAGTCAGGCCTATATAAATGTGAAATGTATATAGCCTATCTCACTTAATCCTCACAACAACCCAAGGAAGTACTAACATTCTTTTGTCCTGGATGAAGTTCAAACAGGCTGCTTCTGTAGGCGTTCTTTATATAGCTCAGTTGGTAGAATGTTTGCCAAGCACACATGAGAGCCCTGGGTTTAATCCCCAGTGCTACACATATTAAGCATGGTGGCACATTCCTGTCATCCTGGCATTCAAGAGATAGAGGCAGGAGTTCAAGATAATATTCTTCTGTAAAGTAAGCTTGAGGTCAATGTAGGCTACATGAGAAATGTAACTATGTTCTATGATGCAGAAATATGGAAATATTTTTGTTTGGGGGTTTTGTTGTTTTAGAGATAGGATTTCATGTAGCCCAGGCTGGCCTTGAACTTCTGGTCCTCCTGCCTCTACCTCCCATGTGCTAGTATTAGAGGTCTATATCACCACACTCAGTTTATGTGGTTCTGGGGATGAAATCAAGAGCCTCCTGCATGCTAGGTAAGCACTCTACAAAAAGGGCTACAGCCCCTGCCCCTAAAACCTCTTGATTACCATTTCCAACATATATTGGAGCAGGTCTCAAACTGTTTTCTACAGAAAGCCTAATGGCCCTGCTCATTATTACTGCCTCTTCCCATGTTACTGCCTCCTCCTACCTGGGATGGGGAGCCTTCTAGTCAAAAATCTCACCCACTCATAAAGTTGCTCCAACTTGACCAATGATAGATAGCCAACTCCACTAATAAATTACTAAAGCACTGGGGCCTAAAGCAGAATACACAGACTTCTTGCTCTCCACACTTATTGAAATCTAACCTGAGGGAATATCCACAGAGGCTGTTCAGTCCATCCACATTATATTCTTTTCAGTGTCAGCCTAGGTGCCACCTCTTGCCTCCTGCCTGGTCTCTGTTGCAACTGCTGCAGGTCACACTGCATGCCAGCACCTGAGCAGTTGGGGTGGATTTTCACCTATAGCAAAATTAAAAAAGAAAAAGTTAACATATTAATACAAATTCAAGGCTGGGCAGACCACAAATTTTTAAAAAAGGGCTGGAGATATAGTTCAGTGGTAGAGAGCTTGCCTAACATTTGTATGACCCTTGGTTCAATTCCCAGCACTACAAAATCAAGAGACATACAAAAGTAATTGAGTCGTTCTTTGTGAAGACTCATACGCCACCAAGGCAGGAAGGCACTTTAGCTGACAAGCACAATGTACTAAGGTACACCCTCCCTCAAGGGAGTGCTCGGGCCGTGCACTGGACCACTTCCAAGACTCCCAGCCACACCATTGCCATTCTGCTAACTGCTCTGAGGCACTATGTCTAAAACACAGTTTGTAAGGTGGGATGTTGTTTTTCTTAGGTTGTCAAAATGGTCATTCTCTTCTCTACCTGATAGCCTTCCTTTGTTCTCTTTATTAAAATAATTGTTTCAAGCCTGGTGTGGTGGTGCATGCCTGTAGTCCCAGCACTTGGGAGGCAGAGGCAGGTAAATCTCTGTGAGTTCAAGGCTAACCTGGTCTACAGAGTGAGTTCTAGGCCAGCTGGGGCTACAAGGAGACCCAGTCTCAAAAAGACAAAAATAAAATAAAATAAAATAAATAAAATAATAAAATAAAATAAAATAAAAAATATAAAATAAAATAAAATAATACCAGGGCTGGAGAGATGGCTCAGCAATTAAGAGCACTGGCTGCTCTTGCAGAGGACCCGGGTTCAATTCCCAGCACCCACATAGTGGCTGACAACCATCTGTAACTCCAGTTCCAGGGGATCTGACACCCTATTCTGACCTCAGAGGACATTGTACGACATGGGTGCACTTACATACATGCAAATAATACACTCAGACACATAAAAAAATAAAATGCCAGTCAGGTGTGGTGGTGCACCCCTTTAATCTCATTACTTGGAGAGGCAGAAGCAGGCAGATCTCTATGAGATCAAGGCCAGCCTGGTCTATACATACCCTGTCTCTGAAAGGAAAAAAAAAAAAGAAAACATTTCTTTGAAAATGATGCTGATTGTTAGACTGACATACGTTTATCAATAAACATTTTACATGACACGTGTGGGTGTAGTTACATACATGCGGCACATGTATATATATATATATATATACACACATACATACAAACAAATATATATAAATGTCTTTATCTGACAGACTGGGGTGCATCAACTCATTTCTACTTTTAAACAATCCTTTTAAAAAATATTTCATTTATTACTTTTATGTGTATGAATGTATTGCCTGCATGTATGTAAGAACACCCATGTCATGGATTGCCTGCAGAGGTCAGAAGAGAGCATCAGATCCCCTGGAACTGGAGTTACAGATGGCTGTCAGCCACCATGTGGGTGCTGGGAACTGAATCCAGGTCCTCTGCAAGAGCAGTCAGTGCTCTTAACTACTGAGCCATGTTTCAAGTCATTAAACTATACTTTTATTTTCTAGATTGGCTATATGTGGCTTAAGACCATATTTCACTCTGTAGCCCAGGCTGACCATAAACCTAAGATCCTCCTTCCTCAGTCTCCTGAGTGCTGGGATTACAGGCATGTTCCACCATCATATACAGTCAAATGGTTCTTGGCTTTTCTTTTTTTTTTAGACAAGGTGTCTTCTTATAGCCCCAGCTGGCATCAATCTGGCCTGCCTCTGCTTCCTGAGTGCTGGAATTAAGGGTATGTGCCATCACACCACGCTTGATTCTGTTTTATTGAAACAAGGTCTCACTATGTAGTCCTGGCTGGTCTGAAACTTGCTATATAGACCAAGCTGGACTGGAACTCAGAAATCCACATACTTCTGCTTCAAGGCCAGCCTGGTCTATACAGTGTGTTCCAAGCCAGCTGAAATATAGGGAGAACCTGTCTCAGAAAGAAAAAAGAAAAAAGAAAAAGAGTGCCGGGTTTAAAAGCATGTGACACCATGACCACCAAGTGGTTCTTTAAATGTACTACTGAAATGGATTTGCATATATCTAGTTTTATACAGGAAACTATTGCACTTTCATATACTTAAATGTAAAAGTCCCTTACATGGCACTAGGGCACAGAAATAAATATGAAGTAGCCAGGTGATAAAATTATTGCATATTATATTTTAATGGCAGAAACAGGGCCCTCCTGCCTCAACCTAATAAGTGCTGTCATTACAGTCTGTGCACCAACATTGCTGGCTCTATCAAGGTCTTTAACTGGTATAGTCTTGTCATCTATATAGTTCTAACACCTTGATCTTTCAAGGTCAAGGACTGCCTGCCCTAATGCTTAATCCAGAAAACAAAAGCCTCAATATACAGCCTAACTCAGGAAGACAGCTTGCCCAGCCCTGCAAGCCTTGTAATCAATTTTATTGCAAATGCTCTTCAGTAAAATATGTAAAAATTATAGCCTTCTGCAAATACGGTATCAAAGCACATACTGGGCATCTCAGGTCACAGCTAAAGTAGCTGGCTGCCCAGAGAAATAGTTTGAAGCCATATCAAAGTAGAAGCCTGATGACCCCAGTTCAATTCTTGGAACCCACATGGCAACAGGAGAGAATGGACTCCCACAAATTGTCTCTGAACTCCACACACCCACCAGGGTAAGCGTGTATCTCCCCAAAATAAATGTTAAAAAAAAAAAGAGAGAGAGAGAGAGAGGAGAGAATGAAATAGTAACTGGAAGAGCATACAAAATAACAAAATACACAGAGAATGGATATTGTCATGAAACTTGTTTCAAAATATTTAACAAGGGGATTGTAGAGATGGGCCTAGCAGTTAAGCACATTGGCTGCTCTTGCAGAGGACACAATTCAGTTCCTAGCACCCACATGGCAACTAACAACCATCCCTAAGTTCAGTTCCAGAGGATCCAACGCCCTCTTCTGGCTTGCACAGGTATTGCATGCATGGGTGCAATTATACACATAAAAATATAAATAAACAAAAATGTTAAAAATACACTCTGCTTCCCTGGGGCTGCACAACCCGCAGGCCTCTCTCCTGGGTAAGCTGATAGCCCCCCACCCCACCCCACACGTGCACACACACTGTGCACACCATGCCTTGACTCCACCAGCCTCATTCACCCTCCCATCTCCCCCTATGTCTCTCCTCCTAGCCTGGGTCCTGTCCCATTCCTTGTCTTGGGGCACCAGACACCAGGGGAATCACCATTGCTTCCTGATCCTTTGCATCCAGACCAACCCAGTTCCTTCTCGGGTCCCCAGGAGCCCTTTAGGCCGGGCCCCACCCTCACCTCCCTCAGCTTCCCTGTGCTGCACAACCCACCACCCGCTTTCCTGGACACCCGGATGATCCTTCCACTCTCTGATTCTTTGCATCCAGACCAACCCAGTTCCTCACTGCAGTCCCCAAGAGCCCTTGGGGCCTCTTCCCGCCCCCACTGCCCTTTGATTCTCTGGGTGGCACGGCCACCAGCTGCCCTAGATCAAGATCTTTCCTGGGCCCTGCTCACAGGCCAGTCCAACCCCCAAATTCCTCAGGCCAAAATCTTTCCTGGAGGGATCCAGACCTTAGGAAGAAGGCCTGAGAGCATTTGATCCTCATCTGACTTGGGCCTCTGTGGGAACTCCTGAAGACAAAAGCAATCTGGCCACTCCAAAGTAAAATCAAAAGAGAGAACCGGAAGTTTCATGCCCAACAAGTAAACCACAAAGGCACATAAAGTTTACAAAAAGAAGCAGACCTAAACTCAACAAAAGAAGGCTTGAGTCTCAAACAAGAATCAGAAACTACAAAAGAAATCCACATGTCAAAGTCATAGAGAAAAAATAATAACATGAAAAACCAAAATAACATATCCCCACAAAATACCAATAGTCCTCAAAAGGACTACACTGAGAACCCCTTAGAGATAATGCAGGACATGGAACTCAATAGAACAATTATAAACATGATAAAAGAATTCAGTGAATTTAAAGAACACACAAAGAAATCAAAGAACTGAAGGAAGATAGGGATAAACTTCTGAATGAATTCAGAAAAGACCTAAAATAGTGAAGAATACTCAGGCTGAAATGAAGGAAGTGAAACACTTGGTAAACTGATTAGTAACCACAGGAGAAAGCCTCACCAATAGGATGAACGAAATGGAAAACAGAGTATCAAGACTGGAAGATAAAGTGTATGAACTAGACCACTCAAGCAAAGATTATGAAAAATTTAAGAAATCACAAGAATGGAATATGCAGGAATTGTGTGACATCATAAAAAGACCAAACTTATGAATCATAGGCACACAGGAAGGAGAAGAATCCCAAGATAACGGCATGGACCAGATCATCAACAGAATCGTGGAAGAAATGTCTCAAAATTAAAGAAAGACATGCCCATACAAATACAAGAAGCATACAGAACACCAAACAGATAGGACCAGAACAGAAACTCTCCACGGCACATCGTAGTAAAAACACTACACGCACAAAACAAAGAGAAAATTCTGAAAGCTGCAAAAGAGAAACAACAAGTCACATACAAAGGAAAACCCATTAGGATTACAGCTGACTTTTCAGTGTAAACTATGAAAGCCAGAAGAGCCTGGACCAAAGTATTCCCAGTTTTAAATGACCACAGATGCCAACCCAGATTACTATACCCAGCCAAAATGTCTATTATAGTCGAAGGGGAAAGAAAAATCTTCCATGACATAAACAGGCTGAAGGAATTCATGTCCACAAGGGTAGCCCTTCAGAGAGTTCTGGAAGCAATACAAAGAGCTGAAGAAAGTAATGACTATACCCAAGGGGTTGCGGAAAGAATTCAATGAAGGTATAACTGTGGAAAAGTACAGCTAAATCAAGAATGTAAACAGAAATAAAAATGACAGGATTCCATACTCATCTTTCATTAATAACTTTAAATATGAACAGACTGAACTCCCCAGTCAAAAGACACAGACTAGGTGAATGGATTAAGAAACAAAACCCAGCCAGGCATGTTGGCACACACC